CTCGGAGGACCTCCTTAGCCACTTGCGGACCCATCCTGCCTTCCCGGGCACCGATAAACTCCTCTCCACCTACCCCAGCTCCTCCTCGCTGGCCAGCGCGGCGGCCGCGGCCATGGCGTGCCACATGCACATCCCCACAACGGGCGCCCCGGGCAGCCCGGGCACACTGGCCCTGCGCAGCCCGCACCACGCCCTGGGACTCGGCAGCCGCTACCACCCCTACTCCAAGAGCCCCCTGCCCACCCCCGGGGCCCCCGTGCCCGTGCCCGCTGCCACCGGACCCTACTACTCCCCTTACGCACTCTATGGGCAGAGACTCACCACAGCTTCGGCACTGGGGTACCAGTGAGCGCAGGAAGCGGGGCTTTGACACACAACACAGTTTAGCGGTGAGGGAAGGAAGCCCTGCAAAACTTTATAAAAGTTGGAAAGAAAAAAAAAAAAATCTGACTTTTTACAAAATAGTGTTCATTTGAGGACTGGATCCATGGGCACTGTATTTATTTATGTTAGCTTCAAGCGGGACAACGAATCATAAAGTGCATTACTTAACTGAGCTCCATAGGGAAAAGTGGACACCCGTTGTAGAATATAAATAAAAAGATAGAGGTCTTCTCTTTAATGTTACTTTAAAATTGCTATGATTGTATTGTACGTTCTTATTTAATGTCTCATTGAAACAAAAAAAATTTACATGCATGTTTGTTACTAAAAAACAACTCGCAATTTGTCAGTTATAATTTCAAATTGCAATTATTTTTAAGGTGTATACCCTTGAAAGAGAATTGGTATTTTTTTGTATGTATTCTGGAAGAAAAACAAAAACAATTCTATTCCAAAAACCTCATTTGCCTTATTTTGTTCTTTAAAAGGAACACTTAACTATTTTTAATTTTTAAGTCCACCCTGTAAAAAGGGTTAAGTAAGGTTTACGTCATGTACTAAAATAGACAATGTATCGCTTTAAAGATTAAAATTCCGTATATTTGATGTATTAAAAGGTTATACTTTTTTTTTTAATACACTTTGATTCTGTTATAAAACCGGAGTAGGTCTTGGATGGAGGCAATTGCTAATTTCTCCTTAAGCATTTATTCAATTTTATTTAAAAATTTAAAAAAACCCCTAAACAACAAACAAAACCACATTTTTTTTTAAATTGTGACCACAGGGCTCTTTAAAAAGAAATAATAATTAAAAATCGGATAGGAGTACTTTTTCCCTTCAGTAGTTTGTAGGCATGAAATAGGAAAACTGAGAATGAGTTAAATCTCTCACTTTCCTAAGGAAGACTACCTTTAAAAAAAATAACAAAACAAAAAAAAATCCCCAACAAACTAACAACAACGTTTTTACTGTGCAAATCTGTTTTTTGAAACTGAGTTTCCATTACAGACCATGTTCTTTCTTTAGAAAGAATAGAAGGAAGAACTTATTTGTAAAGAGTAAGAAGATTATGTGAAGCTTTTTTTACAGTGTAATGCATAACTATTCGTCTCTTTTTCCAAAAGAGAATTTCAGAAGCAATTTGGAAAGCGCTGTCTGATCTCATGCAGTTATTTTCAATTTATTTCTTCATTTCGTCCCGCAGCACAAGGGATCATCACGTTAAAAAAAAAAAAAAAAAGAAAAAGAAAAAAAAAAATCGGTCTGCTGTGAGAATTCCTTTTCTTTTAAAAATGAAGGGAAGGGGGGAAAAGAAGTCCATCCACTATTTGGTCCGAGGCTGTTCTTTGCTGAAGTGCGGGGCCAAACTCGACATGATGCCGAAAAGTGCTGCGCCTTCCTGCGCCGCGTCTGTGCCTGCCCAGCCCGGGCTTCCCAGCGCCCGGGGCCGCCGCCCAGCCCGGGCTCGTCGTCCTGCACTCAGGTAGGAGCGGGGGCTGCTATGGAAAAGACAGAGCAGCTACCGAAACTGCGGAACCAACCGTTGCCGCCAGGATAGACGGGCAATCCATACCCAAGCCCGTAAAGGCAATGCCTTTGCTCATGAGGTCTGCCAGGCGCCTGCAAGGAGCGGCTCAGGCGGAGCCGAGGACCTGCTGTCCCCTCGCACAGCCTCTCTCCCCCCGCTGCGGGCTGCCCTTGTCCCGGCCCCTGCGCGACGCGCTGGCAAGGGGAAAAGTTGCAAGCGGCAACTTTGGTTGACAAATCACTGGGTTTTCTCCCTCGTTCTGTATCCCCCACAATATAATTACTGTTTCCCGTGGTGCCTAGATGCTAATTAGTCTAATACATTTGCTCCAGATAATTAGTGGAAGTTAGCGTTAATGTGTAAAGGAGAGAGAACCAGCAAGCTAATGAAGCTCCAGCACTCCCCGGCCGTCCCGGCGCGCCTGCCGAGGCCGAGCCGGGACTGCAGCCGAGGCCGTGCCGCGGTGCACAGGGGGACCGCCGGGACCAGCGGGCTTTGGACCGCGCTGCGGCTCTTTTGGGACTCTGATCCGAAAGCGGCGCGGGAAATGCTTTGTGCTTTTATCAACTGTATTTTTTTCCCCGCTTGAATGGGAAGGGCACCGTCGCATATCTCTGCTTCAGGGAATGTAAAATGAGGTCTTGTTAGAAACTGATGAGTTGGAGAACGGGAAGGGAGGGCAGGGCTGTTAACTGCACCAAGAAAACTTCAACAATCAAGTAGGAAGCGGATACAAAAACGGCAAGTGATCGAAAGAATGCCCTTGCGGGTGTGGGGTGATGATGGTGGAGGATTCATCCAGCGAATCTGAGAACTGCAGAACAAGCTCACAACCCGCTCCCCACGCCGTACACCCCCGCCCGCTCCTGCAGCTCGGCTGCCTTTAGCTGGCAGGGCAGCCCGGCCAGTCTGCCTTCCCCACCCCACTCTTTTAACCAGTCCTACTCTGAGGAAAAATACATTTCAGGCTCCATCTGGGCATGTAAGTCACTATTACAGATTCGCGGCGATTAAAACACACCGCCACCGCATACACTCCACGTATTTTACAATTACAGACTTCTAACAGCTGCAGCTCGGACTTCGCTAGCTAAAACCCATCACCAATCAGGTGTTACAGGGGCTATTTAAAAACAAAAGCTAGCGAGGGATTTCCGTGTCCTGGAGCCCCAGCTGCAGTTTTGTGGATTTCACCTCTGAAAAGTTACACACCTGAAGATTTCTGATGCGAGGAAATAAACACAACAGTATTATTACTGTTTTGTTCACTTTCCCCGAGATTAATGAAAAATTAAAGTAGCTTATTTAAAATGTAGAGTGGTGGTAGAGTTCTCTCTTCCAGGCTTGTTAAGTATTTGACCTGGCAAGTGTCTCCTAGGATTTTTATATTAATATAGGAAATTTTTACATTCCCCCCCCCCCCCTCAATTGAGGTTGACTTATGGACATTAATGTTTTTAGGAAAAAGGACTGCATTTGGTATTTCCCCCCTTCCATTCTTACTAACTGGATGGGTTGTGGAGTTGACAGCAGCCGCTGGTCCATGCCACCGAACTAAAATAATTTCACAGTGAAAAAACAGCTCGAGAGGACAAGCAACAGAAGGGCAAAACCCATCAAAACCCGAAACTCTGATCAATCTGACCAGAGTCAGGCATACATTACTTTAAATTAATCAGTTTCGTCTTTCTCACAAATCTTTCTTGAACATTAAAGATAAACTCATGTAATATTTAAATCAACTCTTGTCAGATGCTAAGTGCAACAGAAGAACAAAAAAAATAAATTAAAAAAGCATTTCTATCCCCTCTCAAAGGCTTACTCTGGATGCCACTTCGACAAAATACTTCTGATAAGCAACACTTAGAAAAGAAAGGTTCTGTTTATCTTATCTATGGGGAAATGTAATTAAGCTAGTTTTATGAAACAATAAAACACCAGACTCCACAGACAGCAAAGGAGTTTCTGTAATATATCTAAGCGTACGTATCTTGGCGTACAAGACAATACCAAACACATACATATACTTCGGCCTGCCTAATTTTAGAGTGCAAAAGGTATGCTGGAGCTAAAATTCAGGGATGCCTTTATGATGGGAAGATTTTCCTCAGCCAGGAGGCTCCATTTTCTAAGACTGGAAAGTCACCCGCTGCCCATCCACTACCCTTGAAGCTACTACCCCCAACGCAGCCAGCGAGGAACGCGCAGTGCTGTGGCTGACCCCCTTCTCTCTAATCCGAGGTTTGTAATCAATTGCCCATATCTACAATCGAGATCACCCAGGCAAGTGGAGTTCTGAAAGGCCCAAGATTTCCGAAACAAAAGTAAATGTGCATTCATGTTCTATACAAACATCGATCAAGCTTCATTATTTCATATCTAAAAACGACAGAGAAAAATGTTGCCTTGCTTTAATATTGTTGGCTCTCACTACA